AGCCTTTTACTAAATTTCTGTCAACTTTCTTGGCCAAAAAATTGGATCAACTTAAGAGTACTAATAGCACACATTGTATTCTGCAAGCAGTCTAGTCTATTTACAGATTAGACAAGAATGTGCGCAGTTATTGCTATCAGATGAGCAGCTTCGAAGACTCTCTTCTGTTATGGAAAAAGAAATAGTAGAAAGTCTAAACAATCGACCCAGTAATACAGTTTCTACTCATTAATCACAATACTTGTTTGCTAATCTATAATGTGATTTGAATGTTATGAGATTTATTTTACTGTTCGTCAGAGGTAGAATTGATGATTATATAATTTGAAAGTCAAATCAGTTATTTAAATGCTTAGATTTATTCGAGAATTTATTTTAAATTTTTGATAGTATTACAAAAAAGCAAAAATTATGAGAATTTGGATGCTAAATTTTTAAAAACAAATAGTAATACAAAAAAAAAAGAATCCTAAATCATAAATTATGAATAAACAATTTTAATAACAATTATTATGCAAATTCTTAAGATTTCCATTGCTATACAAAAAATATATATTTATTCTTGCAGGCTCCCTAAAAATGCTTCCTTCGTTCATAAGAGCAGTCCCAAATGGTACAGAACGAGGAGATTTTCTGGCCCTCGATCTCGGAGGAACTAACTTTCGAGTCTTATTGATCAAGTTAAAAGGGAGTACAGCTGAAATGACTGGTAAAGTGTACCGAGTCCCGGAGGAAATCATGAGGGGCGTTGGGACTGTGGTATGCTCCTTTTACTGTGTTGAAAAATATACTTCATTATTATTATTATTATTAATATTATTGATATTTTTTTAAATTATGTAAATCCCAAAGCTTTCAAAAACAAAAATAAATTTATTTTAAAGTTAATAATTAATGTAACTGATTGCAGTTTTATTGAATCTAATTTTTGCTATTTTCTGTATTAAATAAAATTCATCTTGATTTCGTACCTAAAATGACAAAAATTATTTGCACAAAATAATTATTTACTCGTTAATTATTTTAAGACTTAGTGTTTGCAAAGCCAAGTTTGGGCATTTTATTTCTAAGTAGTAATTACTGGGTTAAGCTAAACTATTATGCATTATTGAATAATAAAAGTTAAATGAAAATATGAAAAATAGTTTAAAACTTTTTAGCTGAAAAAAGCTAGATACATTAATTAATTTAAAGAAAAAACTAAAAAAGCATATTTATAATTATCAAAAATAGATCAGTTTG